TAGCGATGGCCTCCAACCTACTATAGCGATGGCCTCCAACCTACTATCGCGATGGCCTCCAACCTACTATAGCGATGGCCTCGTATACTATAGCGATGGCCTCCAACCTACGGCCTCCAACCTACTATAGCGATGACCTCCAACCTACTATAGCGATGGATTCCAACCTACTATAGCGATGGCGTCCAACTTACTATAACGATGGCCTCCAATCTACTATAGCGTTGGCCTCCAACCTACTATAGCGATGGCCTCCAACCTGCTATAGCGATGGCCTCCAACCTACTATAGCGATGGATTCCAACCTACGGTAGCGACGGCATCCAACCTACTATAGCGCTGGCCTCCAAATTTGGCCTCCAACCTAGTAGCGATGGCCTCCACCCTACTGCGATGGCCTCCATCCTAGGAGCGATGGTCTCCAGCCTAATGGCATGACAAGTGATTTGAGAACAGAACTGGGTCTTTAAGTGATTTGAGAATGAGGTTCAAAGGGAGTGTTTGTGGGTCCCTCCTGCAATATGACTCCCTCGGAAAACGGGAATGTGTCGATGTGTGTGGCTATATCGTGCACGTCTTGCATGCGTGGTTGATGGAACGAAGTCGTGTTTGCTGACAGTATCTCACAGTGGAAGCAAACATATTGTTGCTTTTCGGGGGTCTCGCTACTGGCTGTGAGGCTTGTTAGCAAGCTGTCAACATGGAATGAGCTACTGCCATTTGTTCCTAGTAGCGTCCTTGCTCCTAGAAGTAAGGCCAGGAGCCCCGTTCGTAGCGTCCTCTTGTTCCTATAGTAGCGATGCCATGAATTTGGTGCGGCCTGTTCTCCGGCACAGGGCTGTTCCAGCCTCATGGACCACGGAGCGGAGGTCGGTGAAGCAGTTCGGCAGGTCGGGCTGCAGAATACTTAAGAGAGCTTATGAAAGCTGTAAGCTGTAGGAGATTGTTTATGAAACTTGTCAAGCTTGGAGTTGGATCAGCTTGTTAAGTTGAAGATATGCATGGGGAACCTCTAATAGTGACCAGTTGTCAGGCAGCCTTCGCTCGAAGATCTTTGCGCGAGATGTTCGGTGGTTCCTCTCCAATTGGTCTTGAGGAGACTAAACAGACAGAACGGTTTTCTCAAAGTTCGGAGAAACGACTGCGGCACATCCTGCGGCAGGATTGGGTCACAGCCATCCTGCAGGGGCCAGAGACTTTGCGGAGCCTGTTGGATCAGAGAACCAATCCCAACAAGGTGAGGAGCATTACTGCCATGCAAGGAGAGAGCCGTTGCATATCGTTGCATTCAGAGATGCATTGGCATAGGCATAACTGCCATAGATTTCCTCGAGATTTGCATGTTTTGCTGAGCAACAACAGAGGACGTCCTGCCTCTTGACCTCAAAGCATTACATTATATATCATGACATGTTCCATTCTTGGATGTTCAAGACTCTTCTGACAAAGAAAAATAGCACCACCCTAGTAGCGATGGCCTCCACCAAGAAAAAGCGTCTTTACATGTTTCTACAATTTACTCTATTTGGAGATTCCGACCACGGCCCCCATCACCCCCAGGCCTTCACATGGCCACGAGACTTCGAATCTGCGAAAGATTTGCTGGAAAACAAGTCCTTGTCTTCTCCGGAGCTCACTGAGAGGCGAAGTGCAGAATAGTCTTATACCTTTTCAGTGATAGATTCTAGAGCAAGAGGTAAGAGAGGAAAAGTTCAACTTAAAGAACTTGAAACATGTTGACAGCTATTCTTTTTGCACAACGTCATGCCTAGAAGTTTGATGACTTTTGTAAGACACATTTGACAGGCGACCAATTTGATTTTACCGGACATGCTGAGTATAAAGGAATGCCAGGGATAGCCGGCTGCGCATGGCTCATCATCGCTCGACTCCGCTCGATGCAGGTTAAAGACGTTGAGCACTGGACGCAGCTACTTTGAAGGGGTGCGGCCTGTTCAGCTAGCCATTCTCTTCGACCAGCCTTGGGCATTGCCGCCTGGCACTAAAGGTGACTGTGAACAGCACCTTTTGAGCCCGTGGAGATTAACGGAAGTAATACATAGCACCGGGCTGGAAAGAGTATTTTGCCGGGCACGGAGGCACAGATGTGATCGTTCCGATCCATTTAGGGCCACTGCATGGAGAGATTCGGCATATATGCTGCATACCGTATACGGTAATCCATGGTGTATTGCATCGATTGAAGAAGTTGGGGAAATCCAAGACCTATGGCCTGGCCTTTACGGCACAACAGCAAAGTCAGAGTTTGTTCTTGTTTGCATTAAAAAACATGTGAGTGCGAAAATGATTGGGATGAGTCGGATGATGAGTTTTCGATCTCAGGCAGCTGCTATTGGAGGCTGGTGCAGCCTTTGAGGGTGTTGTGCGGGAAGTTGTGCTGGATGCGCCAGAGGATCCTCTCTTGCAAGGCATGGACTTGGACCCTTGGCAGAAGCATGAAGATTTGACGATGTCACTGGTAGATTCCTAGATGTTCGAGAAGAGGACATGACGCAACATGATTGAATGGTGTTCAAGACAAAGTGCAGGTGGGCAGCATGGAGAGATTCTTGCCAAAATGTGTTGTTTTTTTTCTACGTGTGAAGGATCCTTTGATGCTGTGCGTTCGGGCTGGCACATTGGACATGCTGGAATTCCTTGATCAGCAGCAACTTCTGCCTGATGTGAACACCAAGCTAGGGCTGGTGCCAGACATCACGCCTCCCTTTTGGCCTTGGAAGGTGCCACAGTTGTCGCACTTTCAGAGTATCGACTTTAATTCATTGCAGCATGTGGAATCGTATGCTTCAATGCTCCAACATGTTGTCCACCTTTGATTTTATTGTGAATCCAAAGGCTATCGCTTCTGAAAGCACTGGTCAAACACACATTGCACAGGGGCAAGGCAATCAGCTGCTGTGGGCATGGCGTGGCCTGACCCCGCTGGCTTTGGCTGTACTCCATCACCGGGCCGATGTGGCACTGCTCTTGATCAGGCACTCCTCCACCCTAGTAGCGTCCTTGCTCCTAGTAGCAAGGCCCTCTTCACAGAAAATCTTAATAACTAACTTTGCAAGCCATGCATGTTTGATCAACGCGATAACCTGCAACGCCTGGCTTTTCTGTCTTTGAGAAACTTCTTGTGGGAGTTAGTCTTCTGCTTTGAGCATGACTTGTACATCGTTATAGGTTTATTTGGTTGGCGGGATTGTGATAGAATCATTTTGCTGCCAAAGGTGTGATGTTGATCGAAGTTTTCGATGCGAGGCTTGGCGCAGATATGCTGATGCCACTGGATCACATTGCCATAGAGGCTTGGAAATGGAGGAAGTATGAGGAAATGGCCTCCAACCTAGAAGGGATGGGCTCCAACCTAGAGAAAATATGATGCAATAGTTACTTCAATAGTTAGGTTGTGACTGAAAGTGTTGCCAAAAAGTAGAAACTCCGCTTCAAGCATGTTGTCGGCACGACTGAAGCGCTTTGCTTGGACACTTTGAAGCGGTTTGCTTCGACACTGTCGTTTGAGAATGCGCAAGGCAATAAATTTCTGGACTTAAGATCTAGCGTGGGGGGTAGAATCATGCAGAACCCAAGGTGCCCTAAAGACGCCAGTATAAATGGGCTCCGGTTGCTTGGAACATGGTCAAGTCCAAAAAAATATGGCTTCAAGGTTGCAAAAGAGCTGGGTTACCAGATTCCACTAAGAAGGGAGCCAAGGAGCTAGGGATATTCTTATACAATATAGATCAATATAGAACTGTTGCTCAGATGCCATCAGGGTTAGGTTTGAATAGTATTGACGAGAAGCAACAGGCATCCAAACAGAATACTGTACCTGAAGCGTTCGCGGCTGGTGTTCATGAGCAAAGATTACCGTTTCTCAGAGGCGTTACTTTGCCAAGTTTAGCTCTAAAGGATTTGTTTTCCGAAAGTACTCAACAATTTATCAGAAGGTAGTGTGGATCCCCAGTGGTTGAATCATAGATGACCACGATAAGAGTATCAGTATGGTTCATTATGCATTATTTTATGGGACCCGATACTAGACTTGTGGTTCTGGGGTTGATGGCCACCGTTAACCTGTTTTGACAGACATCCCTTCATTTTTTGCTGGTGTTTCGTTGCTTTAGGATTGCATCGAAAGATCTTGAAACGGTGTCTTAGGGTTAATACATGCAGCAATTTTGTAACAGTAGAGCTGCCCAACTGTGTTGAACTGTTTGCTTCAAACAACGCGCATTTAACTTGCGGGTGTGTTCCCATCACCGTTGCCCCTTGCAACTGACAGCTGACATACCCGCCCCAGCCAGATTCAAGAAAACACAAATTGATTCACAACCAGAGTTATCCATGCAGACAATAACCAGCAGCACTCCAAGAGGATTGAATGGAAGACATTGCTGAAGTCGATTCTTGAGCGGGAAAAACCGTTAGTCGGCAGACATTTCTAATACAAATGAGTTTCTGATGTTTTTTTTTTTCCGGTCTTGACAGATTTAATTCTGAAGACACAGCCTCTAGCCTCTAACTTTGCAGCCTCTAGCTCGACCAATGGCAAAGCTGACCGCAGCCTCCATATGCTTTCTATTTGGATCTGTAACTCTCAGCGAAGTGGTCGGGATGGTCCAGGACAACGGCACACGAGGAAATCCAGTGTGTTGGAGTGGCGGATACGATTACGTAGCTTGCTGCGGCAGTCAAGAAAAAGCCAAAGCCAACGGCTGCTGGAACCTGTTCTTTACTTACGAAACTTGCTGTCTAGAGCCCTATAAACCCACAGCAAGATGCGAGAAGGCGGCAAATGCTGAGGAACAACTTTGGCACTGCCGCATGCGCCCACATTGGCAGACACAGCGTTGTTTTCAAGCGGAAGAATCTGAAGAGCTTCATGAGCTTCGCGTCCAGACGTTGTACACGGGGAATTACCGCCGCTACCAGGAGTTGCAGCAAGAAAAGGCGTCCCGTGAAATCGGAATGCGCTTCATCTCTCAGCGTGCTGCAGAGGTGGTTGCACTGTATGTGGCACGAAGTGGGAGTGGGAGCGCCTTTGTGCCTCTCTCGGGCCTATGCCACGGGGCCAAGACTGGTGCAGAAGTACGTCTTATCAGAGAAGCTTTGAAAAGACATGGAGTGCTTTCGACCATTCTGGGCACTGACATCACTCCCGAGGCAGCTGCTGCCTCGGGTGGCGATGTGATTCTTCTGGATTTTCACCGTCGAGACGAACGTCTTGGCCTCAAAAACTGGGATTTTGTTTATAGCAACACCTTGGACCATTCCTACAATCCGCTCAAAGCCCTGCGAGCTTGGCGGGAGCAACTACGCGATTCGGAGAGTTTGCTGATCTTGCAACATTCCGACAACCATCTCAGTATCATGGCTAAATATTCGCTGTCACGGTTGAACACATTTTGATATTATATAAATGGTTTTTCAATCATCTCCGGCAGCTAGTGTATGATTTTGACATTCCGGGGCTAGGATGCTTGACTATGGGCCTGCTTCAGAGGTATGCTTCGCCTGCGTCAAACATCCCTCCTCTACATTATCTGGGTACATTGAGAATACACAAACCATCAACAACCATAAGCATAATATAGAGAATGAACATCAACACAGCATATTGGAAAGAATGCTCGCAGCCAGATTTGCTCAGGTTACGCTATAGACGAGGTAGACATTTTTGGTGGCTCCCTTGGCGATTATTGTCACTTGGCTAACCAGTGAATTCCAAGGTCTCTCTCTTCAGGTTTTCACGGGGTGTTCTTTCTTCTGGTTTTCAAAGAGTGCAAGACCATCGTTTGGCGCAAGCCCGAGCGAAGATAGCTAAGGCGGCTTGCTGAAGCGTGCTGGCTTTTACATCCTTGATCTTTTACGGTTGCCAAAAGTCGAGGGCCTCGAGGGGATGCCTCATGAAGATCTCATCTTTGCGCAGCCGAAAAGGTCGACAGCGACAGCTCTCGGGTTTGATCTTTGGTGATACAAGTGTTTGGATGCCCAGCAAAGTGGTACAACAAGTCTTGTCATTGAACAACATCGTCGCGAGTCGCAAGTGTTTGTTCAGGGCTTTGTGCAACAAGGTACAACATAAGGATTTACCAGATGATCCTCCTCAAACCTACATGGATTTCTTGGCAAGATTTGAGTGGCCAGAGTGGTTTTCAGCGTTGTGGCTTGCCTTGGCTAGCAGACCACAAGTGCCATGGGGATTATACATACCTTGGTCAAAGACAGCACCGGACCTGCATATGTATATATATATATAGTGTGTGTTTGCATCTTGCAGGTGCCCAAGCACTATTCCATTGCGGACAACTGCTTCCGAGGTGCAATGGATTGCAAGAAACACTCCGAACCTTTCACAATGTCTTCGAGCAAGAGACGCCATTTATATGCCCTAGTTGCCACACCAAAAACGATCATGCAAGGAACAATATAGCTTGCATGTTTATGTCAACTGTATATCTTGAAGGGCGTTGACGAATCATGTTTTGACAGGCCTGACGCCTTTGCACCTTTGTGCGTTGCTGGATCTCGATGCCACTTGGATGTTTTTTTGGGGGGAAACCGGCCTAAGCTTTCAGAGTCAACCAGTTCTGTGTCATGAAGTTGGCAAGCTCTTCACTTCTTTTCCGCGTAGCCCAGCCACACGTGTTATACTTGAGGCCATAGCCCTGGCGTTTGTTGGTGAAGGTAGCGGCGATGTACCTTTGGTCTTCCCCAATGAGAAGCGGCCGCCGCAATTCAAGGCCAGATTTCAAGAGACAAAGGTCAGAAAGGTGATCATCTCAGCCGGGAGCTGACTAATCAAGCCAATGCCCGGCAAAGCATAGTGATGAGGAGAGAGTCATCGAAAATACATTAGGGGGCACATTGTCATTGTCGACCTGCGACTCTTACATATTGTAGGTATGTTGTAGGAGAAAATGACGCAAGACAGACCAAGAAACAAAAAGGGAAAAGTACTTTCTCGTTGTTCTGTTTTTTTGGGGGGACTCTCTCGCTAGTAGGTTGGAGGCCGTCGCTATTAATTAGAAACAAAATGGCAAAACAACATCAAGATGCATCAAGTATCAGAGTGTCACACGGCACACCGCATCTCACCCAACCAATTGAATTGTGTCAACATGCTCAATCCCTGTATACCGCCTGGTGGGCGGTGCATACTTGATGTTGCCAAGTATGCATGCAATAGTATGCAACCAAAGTATTTGATTACTCGACACTTTCAAGTTTCTAGTAACTAGATGTAACTAGAAGCTACTAGGTGGAGGCCATCGCTATTAGGTTGGAGGCCACTAGTAACCGGAAGCTTTTAATATGTCTTTGAAGCTTCTTAGTAATGAGAAGCTATTAGGAAAAAGAAGCTACTAGGGGCTCCTGGCCTTACTACTAAGAGCAAGGACGCTACTAGGAACAAGTGCATCGCTTCTAGGAACAAGTGCCTTACTAGTAGTAACAAGGACGCTACTAGGGGCTCCTGGCCTTACTACTAGGAGCAAGGACGCTACTACTTTCTTTTGTCTTCGCCTTTTCACGGTTGGGCAGGAACTCCTGGGAGCAACGTGTCAGCAACTCTGGGCAACGCTGGAATCAGATGGAAATCCTGAGAAGGTCAGGGCACCGTTTTGCGTCCTGCTTCGTCTTTGCGTTCGTCTCACAGGGTACGTACCAATAGAAAGGGGTATTTGGGGCAGTAATTAAAACCTTTTTCCAGCTGGTGAAGATTCCTGGTTCAAGGAGCCCTGGCTTTGGCACGACTTGACCCCTTTGCATCTTGCGATTATCGTAAAGAACTACGTCACGGCAGAGGTGCTGATCGAGGCCGGAGTGCAATTGACATCGCTACTAGTAACAAGAAGCTATTAGAAATAAGTATAAGAATTACATTTAAATAGAATCTAATTATAATTGGAACAAAAAGCAAGTCGTTTCGGTAGGTGGAGGCCATCTCTACTAGGTAGGCCATCCAAACAAAACAGCTCTTTTTTCGCATAACTCCTGCCAACTTCCACCCCGGAAACTAGACGTCGCTAGACTCACCATAACGTGACTCCGCTTGTGCCAGCACTCGGAAGTCACGACTCTTTGTGCAGGCTTCCACGCCTGACACTTTGGATATTCTTTGTAGCCGAAAGGACTGGCAACTGAAACGATTTCAGTAACAAGAAGCAAGAGGACGCTACTTGTACTAGTAACAAAGGGCATCGCTACTAGGAGCAAGCACGCTACTAGTAGCTCCTGGCCTTACTACTAGTTACCAGTAACAAAAAGCTACTGGCAACTGTTCATGCCAATTGCTTGATTGAGGATGTGGAGAATGATTCAGAGATTTCGCCACTTGCCTGACTTGGTCACGCAATGAGTTTGAAGATCTCCAAGTATACGAGGTAATCCGCCCTCAGAGCCGGTGGGTGGAAGTTTCTAAGCATCAATTGTATAAATTGTCATTGATGATTGAGGTGTGCAGGGTCATGTGATGATGTTTGTGGCGGTTCGTGACGTGGTGACATAAAAAGTGTTGTTCTGCTGCGGTGAGAGATGTGATGTGGTGCAGTGTAGCACAGTTATAGATTGTAGAGCTTCGCAGACCGGCACGGCGATGCCGGTTGCTGTCCTGTGCCTTTGTATTTCTTGCTTGGTTATTATGGCTGTTGTTCCTTTCGCATGCGTCGCGCCAGCGTGCCCGCGCGCAAGTGAAAAGAGATCAGGCACTTCCTCAGGCTGGTGGTGGAGAGTGTTTTTTTAATGACCAAAAAGATTGAAAGCACGGTAAATCTTTTATGTTTTTTGCTGCTCGAGGCTTCAAAAGTGGCTTAAAACAATGCTGTTTGCGTAGTTTTTTCGCTTTTACGCCAGGAAGCGACGTAAATGCCGATGGTTTTGAGCTACCGAGTGCTCAAAGCCACGGTATTTACGAGGTTTTCTCGACGCAAAAAGCGTCCTCGAGGGGACAGATCTCGTAGCTAGGCTCATGCCATGCACACGCACACGGCCCTGGTTAAGGCAGTGTTCGTCCGACTCCACTCCCGCACCAGCAATGCAATAGAATCAAATGATTCAAATGATTGGTTTTTTGCGTGGGCACAATATTTTGAGGGGCGCCTTTGAACTCAACAATCAGAGACTCGAGACATGGATGAAGGTCCTTCACAACACGTGTTTGTCTTCGGTGCAAAGAACCCATAGGTCTAGGCCAGCTGGTAGAATACTTCCTGCGCTGCACACCAACGGTGCGTTGTAGAAATCCATCAACTCACCCATCAAAGGCTGGAAATCAGTCATATAAGGGATCCCTCCCGCTGCAAAGGTTGCGTAGAGGCGTAGAATTTGAGCAAGAACACGAAGTTGGTCTCCACCTCACAAACATACGCGTCACATATCCCCACGTACGTTTTGTATTTTTTTGCGGCGCAAGGAGAGCTAACCGAGCTCCAAACGCCCTCTGCCGTGTCGGGACCATTTGTTGAAAAATCCAAGAAGATGGGACTTAATGACATCCTGCAACAAGGCCCGTCCCAAGTTTCCCACGCCACCTTTCCTGTGCAAATGCTCCTGCGTTGTATGCCAGCCACCACAGCACTAAGCTCAAACCTGGCTATATAGTGCAAGGGATCTCGAGGAATCCACATGTTCGACAAAGTTCATGTATCATGGATGCTATAGCCGTGATAGCGTTTAATGACGTTTAATTGTTTAATGATATATTAGTATGGTACAGTGTTTGAAGTTGCGCTCATGACGTGCGTCTGCTGCTGGGAAGACATCCATGCGCGCTCAATATGCAAGCATGCCATATGCCGTGGCTGCTTCAAACGGGTAAGTTGATGCCGCCATTGGATCGACTCCACTTTGTCGGAATTTCTTTGGCAGGCGCTGACCGAGCGCGCCCAAGGGGCAGTGTCACAATGTCCGGCTTGCCGAAGACTTTGGTCCGGCATGCCGGGGCGGCGCGTGCCGCCATACCACTGCGAACATCGACGAACTCGTCCAGACGCAGTGGTATGTGCCTTGAATGCAGAAGCCCTCCTGTGGAACCCACACGCCCGATGAAAACGTTCGCAAAAAGTATGTTCAGTTTGACTTGTGAAAGTCAAACCTGCACTGCACTGGCACCCCCGGTTGTCACGTCTTCTTGGGCGGTTTCTCATCAATCAGTGTTTCATCTAAGCTCAAACCTGGCTATATAGTGCAAGGGATCTCGAGGAATCCACATGTTCGACAAAGTTCATGTATCATGGATGCTATAGCCGTGATAGCGTTTAATGACGTTTAATTGTTTAATGATACATTAGTATGGTACAGTGTTTGAAGTTGCGCTCATGACGTGCGTCTGCTGCTGGGAAGACATCCATGCGCGCTCAATATGCAAGCGTGCCATATGCCGTGGCTGCTTCAATCGGGTAAGTTGATGCCGCCATTGGATCGACTCCACTTTGTCGGAATTTCTTTGGCAGGCGCTGACCGAGCGCGCCCAAGGGGCAGTGTCACAATGTCCGGAGTGCCGAAGACTTTGGTCCGGCATGCCGGGGCGGCGCGCGCCGCCATACCACTGTGAACATCGACGAACTCGTCCGGACGCAGTGGTATGCGCCTTGAATGCAGGAGCCCTCCTGCGGAACCCACACGCCCGATGAAAACGTTCGCAAAAAGTATGTTCAGTTTGACTTGTGAAAGTCAAACCTGCACTGCACTGGCACCCCCTAAGCTCAAACCTGGCTATACAGTGCAAGGGATCTCGAGGAATCCACATGTTCGACAAAGTTCATGTATGATGCGATAGCCGTGATAGCGTTTAATTATACTGAGTACTGATGACTAAGGAGTTAGCGGAAGCATCTCGAAAATCATGAGTCCTATCTCATGTGGAAAAGTACATTTGGACCATTATTTCATACATAACTCCTAGCTCATGAGTCTGAGGCAGTGAAAACATAATTTCAACATGAGTTTTGTAAAGTTTTTTTAAAGCATGCTTTGGAGCATTTTGGAGAGGTTTTTGTGGATGACAACACATGAGGTAGGAGTTGTGAGGCCTATGATGGACTCGACATGGTTGGCGGTGGACAAACGCCAAGATTTTGAACGGTTTTGATGGAATGTCAACGGGATGTGCCATGTGCATGCCGACATATGAGATAGGAAGGAATTTTGGATTTTGAGAAAATAAAATGTGTAACTCATGTGCTTCTGACCAATCAGGGTATGGGACTGACCACCACAGGTCCTAACTCATGTGCTTGGGCAAGCCATGTGGAGAACAAGTTGGGACCGCCAAAATTCCTAACTCATGTGACTTCAACAGTGCAAGCCATTTTGGCTCTTTTTGCCGAGCTGCTGATTGCGAGTGTGGCGCCGGCCTGTTTGGTAGTATTCATTCAGATTGTTCTGAATTGTGAGGCATTAAAGTCCCAACTCACAGCGAACACAGCAGGACCATCATAGCCGTTCTAGCTGCTCAAGTCAAGACAAGAAGTACTGCCATGTCCAGCGGTGATGAGTGGAGCTTTGTTCCCTCTTTGGACGAGGGCTCAACATCCCTGGAGGAAGATGGATCAACAGACGGGAGTGAAACAGACCATTGGTCATATGAGGCAGAAATCGTGAGTTTGAAGTCCGGAATTGAGCCTGACAAACAGCACTACCCACAGCTGGTCTTGCAGATTGTCCATCATCACCACTACCACATCTACTGCAAGGAGCATCCAGCTATGAATCGAGATGAGATAGGAAAACAAGAAGATCGCAAGAAGGATGATCAGGGTGCTGGGCAAGGCAGCAGCAGCTTGAAGAACAAAATGCCGCCAGCCGATGGCTCTGAAGAGGTTGCTCGGCCTCCCTTGAAGCGCTCTTGTCGCATGAGCGACAATGACATTGATGCTCTGGAGAGCTGAGATGAGCTGGGCACATCAGTGAGTATTGGCTGACATGTGGGTGTTCCCAGGCATGTATATATTTGAATACATGCGTACCTTAGCACAGATTGGGGCTGTCAATTACATAGTTGGCAGATGTTTCAGGGAAAAGGAAAAACTTTGCTCGAGGGAGCTGGGCTCCATCATGTCAATTGTGCATGGGGAATCCCAACTCATTGGACATTTGAAGATTTTAGTTTATGAATTCCTGCCCTTGTTGTGCTGCCATGGCAGGTTTGCAAGCACATGTGTTGTTCCTGCTTCCTTGCCAGGTAGCCCGGTGAAGGCCCAGCAGATTGAAGAGGCCAGGAGACTCCTTTGGCGCAATGAAATATGTAGCGGTAAGTCCCAACTCATATGTCTCGAACTGTTTGCGTTTATCTAAATATATATATATATGATATGTGTTTTGCACGCAAGAAGGTTGATAGGGCTTGATAACGGCTCTTGGGTATTGTTTATTTTTCTGGGATGAGGCGGCCCACCTAGTGGCCAAGAGATTGCGATGAGCTCGGAGGATGTGGGGAACCCTGAATTATAGTTGTCAATCGCATTGGAAGAGCTGAAATACAACCTTCTGTAAAGGAGCTGCATGTCGCAAACTCCTAGCTCATGCAGTTCTGCATGCAAAGGCAAATGCCGCTGGTCTAGGGTGTGGATCGGTCAGCGCCTCATTCTTCTAACGTTCTATCATGTCACGCCGATGTAGGTTTTTGTAGTTGAAGTCATGTGACTTGACAGAGGATTGGGATCTAGTCCTAGTGCAGTTTTCTGTGATGATGAGGCAGCTAGCCTTGGCCAAGATATCGGGCATGCTTGGGAGATTGCTGGGAACCCTGACATGCATGCTTGTTGGATAGTTTCAGACATGAGTTTTCAAGAGCAGGTAGTCCTAACTCATGCGTCGTCCTGTTTGGGGGCATGGCAATGTAGGGGATGTGTTTGGCATATTTTAGAGTTTTTCTTTTTCAGGCTGCGCCGCCTGCCACTGAACCAGAGCAGGCTTGTGCGGA